GGAGAAGCATCTGTTTCACGGGGTGGGCGATCGGGCGCCACGGTGAGGCGTGCCAGAAACACTGCTGAGGTAGCACTAGTTGCGGACAAACGGCATCCTAAACAATGGACCGCCGTGGCCCGCGGAACGGGGTAGCCACCGCCCGTCGGGGTCATCCTGCAGCCCTTCATTGCCGCCTGTGGAAGTGCAGCAAGCAGTCATTCCCTCTGGAAGTCTTACCATGAGCCGTACGGGATGTAGAACTCCGCGACGTCTTCTTCAATGTCCCAATGATCGCGGTTCCGTGGCCGTGCCCACCCGCGGTGGATGGCGTCGGAGATGGCGTGGGCCGGCGGTCTGCGCGCCTCCGCGGGGTTGGTCGTGGCGGCGGGGCTCTTCCATGAGCCATCAGGGTTCAGGCCAATGAGAGGGGGTGGTCGCCTATGCCGTGGTTGGATCTTCCGCGGCCGGGGGGTCGCGCCATCGCCCGCTGCGCCTCTTGGACATGCACTGCGAGGAGAGTTTTAGGTTTCACAGCTGCCTGTCCAGTCGCACACTGGTCGAGAGAGAGAGAGAGAGAGAGAGACGAAGCCGGCCCCGTCGATGCCGCTTATGTGTGTTAGCTCTGGAAGTAGCCAACTGCATGCTGCGTGCCGCTCGTCGCTGACTGCGGCGAAGTGCTCCATGACCATGGGGGCACGCGTGTTGATGCATATGTATGCGAAGAGGGTGGTGGTGCGCAGCAGCTGGCTGCCGATGAATAGCTGGTCATACTCCTGTAGCGATAGGTGTTGTTCCCCCATGGTTGTTGTCGGCTCGTCAATGGTCACGGCCGGTGCCGGAGGCGGTTAAAGTTGCGACGCCGCACAGCGCGCCATGTCTCAGCAGGCAGGCCGGCCGCTATCGCGGCCACGCTTCCGCGTAGGAGCTGGTTTCTCCAGAACTGCATAGCGGCCCAGCTAGCGAGGTCTTCCTTGGCCTCGTTGTGGGTGATGTCTATAGAAAGTGTTATGGTGGCTATGATGCTGTTGTCGCTGGGAGTGAGGAACTCTATCCATTTCTGTACGTCGCCTCTGCGTCTGCGTCCGCAGTAGAAATGTAGGATCACCTGATTCGAAGTTTCTGTAGGTCTTGGAATGGGCGTAGGTTCGGGATCTGCTTCCTTCGGTACGGTCGCACGGATTGGTAGCTCTCCGGTAGCTTCGTGGCCCTTGGCGCACTGGGGCTGGATGTCCGCCTTGTAGCTGGCGATGTGGGCACGAAAGTGAGGGAATTCCGCCTTGGCGTTAGCCCTCTGCTCGTCGCGCATGGCCAATCGGCTTGCTTCTGTAGTTGCCTCATCATGCCTGTCGCCGTCGCGTTTCCTTGGCGACGCACATGCTGTGCATGCTAGTCAGCGCTTGCCGAGTCGTCCATATGTGCGTGATATTCAGTGGTACATGTTAAGCATCTTGTTCAATGCGCCCATCTGGTCGGGCGGTCATCCGTCGGGCGGCGTTGTCCCATGCGCGCGCAGAAGGCGTTCGTCATGATCAGGGGGGCGAGGCCGGTGTTCTGGTAAGGCCGCAGGCTGCTGTGCCATTGTCGCAGATGCTCTTGGCCCCGGCAGTGGCACGCGCTGCGTTGGGTGACAATCTTGGCCCGCGAGGCAAAGGCTTCGGGCGCCCCTCGGATCGAACTAAGGATGGCGTCGAGGTCTACGGTGGGGCGTGGCTTTGTTTGTCGTCGAGGTACGTCTACATTCACTGTAGGTCGTCGTATTCCATTTGCCCCCGTGACGAACTGCGGCAAGGTCGGCGTCGATGATTCGCAACCGGATAATCGGGGCACGTCGTGGCAGTCGCGGTGGATATCGCAGCCTGAGGATACGCATGGCGGCGTAGGAACCGAGCTGTTTCACTCTAGTAAGTACCTCGCTGTGGTGGATCCTCTGGTCGTCGTAGTTGCGCGCCTTGCATCCAGCTGCCATCCGGCATCCCTTGAGGCAGTCGGTCTCGATAGTATAGAGCTACTCATGGTTGAGGGGGTCCAAGTGTGAGTTGTAAAAGTGGACCGGGTTGGTGATCGCGTCGTTCAGAGTCTGTCTGTCAATGCCCAGCTGCTGTCGCTTGTGCACCTCCTTGCGCAGTGAGGCCCTGCTCGTTGGCTTTGGAGACTCCCCGTTGAACTGATGGTCCTTGCCCCCAGTTATAGATAACAGTACATGGCGAGATATGACGGCTGACGAACTCGGTTGGTTGAATAGGCGTTCGTTCTCGATGTGAGCAACGTTGTTGTTTGGCTGTTCTGCGCTGGCGTCCGCGCAGAAGCAGTATGAGCTTGGTCTTTTTGGCGTGGAGTCGCACGCCGCGGGCCATGGTCGATTTGACTATGATGCGAGGGAGCGTCTGCGCGGTGCTGATTGCTCCAGCATGGCGTTGTGGTGGCTGCGGGCACAGGCGTTCATGCCGTCGACAAAGGAGGTGTCAGTGAGCTGTGCTCCCCCATCCCCTCCGTCCCTTGCGTGTCTGCCCGTAGAAAATATGTACCCCTGGTGCCCCGTGTCGATGCCGATGCATATGTCATGGCCATCTGCAGTGCAGAAAAGAATGGTTCATGTATGCTAATATCGTGCAGTAGGTCGATGAGCTGCTCTGGTGCATGTGCCAGCTGGTCGACAAACTGCAGCGTGACTCTGTAGACGGCGCCCTTGAGGTGCAGGAAGAGAATCATCGCCGATGTACCCCTCGCCCTAAGGAAGTCCATGATGCCGACCGTTGTGTGTGTAACGAAATCGGTGGACCAGTGTGGTCGTGCGCCACAGTAACGAAATCGTATTAACTGCGCCGTAATATCCGTGAGCCTGGTGCATTAAAAAACGGTGGTGGTGCTTAGCGATGATGCTGTTGAACAGAACCATCGGTCTCGACTGTAGGTCTGCTTTGGTAGTATTGGGTTTAGGGAATGACGCTTGCCACCCCATTTGTGGGTGAGTGGTTCGACCGTTGCCATTTGCGCCTTGACTAGAAGTGGGTGGTAGATTCTGGTCATCTCGTTCGGTGCGATCTTGCAGCAGTCGCCAATGAGGTTGTCATGACCGCTGCTCCTTCCTTGCTTCGCTTGCGTGAACTGCACCTTCATAGTTTCCTTGGTAATCATGTTGTGGAGCGGTGTGTCGTTCAGAACTCGAATGGTGGCGCCATACTTGGAGTGGCGAATGTATTTGTCGGCGATGTCCTGCGGGTTCGGGTGCTCGGCGATGGCAAAGTACTCCAGTTCTGCTTCCGCCTGCTGTTGATGGTTATGGAGAGGTTGATGCTCAGCTGTGATACGCCCCGGCCTGCCTCCGTACCGTGGAAGCGGCTGGATGTCGGTCCATGCTCTCCTGGGGTCGTTCTTGGCGTAGGCGTCCTTGACACGATCGGCGATGGTCTCGAGGTAACTGGCGCGATCGGTCTCGATAGCACTTGCAAGCTGTGACGAGGACCCACGTAGGAATGCAAGCGCGGCTAGAGATAGCTCTTCGTGTTGGGCGTACTTGTGTATGATCTGTTCTGCTACACATTGAAGTGCAAGTAGGGCCTGTGGGTTTGTCACGGCCTCGTAGGCGCTGATGGTGGGGATGCGGGCTTCGTAGATCTGGTAGGCAAGGTTGAGGAGGCCTTCTCGTGTCTTGAGGTTATCACCCTCTTATCGTCGACGTCGTAGTGGTCGCTGGCATGCTCTGCGGACACGAATGAGAGCGAAAGTTGCGGTTGTAGGTATGGCTTCCTTGGGTGCACCTTGTCGGTCTGGGAAGCCTGTACTCCTGCCCCGTGTACTTGTTGTGAGAGGTAGCTCGCGCGGTCGCTCATCTCTTCGCCCTCCTCGTTCCTCCTCCTCCTCCTCCTCCTCCTCCTCCTCCTCCTCCTCCTCCTCCTCCTCCTCCTCATCATCATCATCATCATCATCATCATCATCATCAGCTCCCTCGCCCTCCCCCTCCTCCCTCTCGTCCCCCTGCTGAGACAGGTCATGATAGGCGTGCACACATGTGCCATACGAGCACAAAACACTGCGAAAGAACTAGTTAGGCCACTATCAGGGCCCCCAGGTCACGTCCTGAGGCGGGGAGAGCGATTGGGGGGCTCATCTGAGCTTCAGTCCCTGATGGAGGCCTCAGCTGAGGTCCCATTCCTCAGCTGTGTCATGTTTCCCCGGCCTCTTCTTCACGCTAGTACTTCCTCCTGCCTCGTCCTCCTCCTCGTCTTTTTCTCACCACTACAATAATACGAAAAGGAATGACCCCGACATTGAAATAGTTGTAGCAATGCTACGAGTACGAAACAATAGGAGAAACCATCCTCACAAACACAGTCACCGCCATCAACATCACAACCACCACCACCGCCGCCATCATCGTCATCATCATCATCATCATCCTCAGCATCATCAGCATCATCAGCATCATCAGCATCATCATCAGCAGCATCATCACTATCATCAGCAGCATCGTCCTCAGTACCAGCATTAGTAGCATCCTCCTCCTCATCATCAGCAGCATGTCAGCAGCATCATCATCATCAGCATCACCATCATCAACCGCATGATCATCGTCGGCGTCGTCATCGGCGTCGCCATCGACATCGTCCTCGAAATCGGCATCGGCAGCATCATCACCAATAACAACATCGTTCCCATCACCACCGCAACCACCACCATCACCATCACCATCGCCACTATCATCAGCAGCAGCATCATCATTAGCATCATCATCATCATCATAATCGCAATCAGCATCATCAGCATCCTCATCATTAGCATCATCACCATCACCGCCATCATCATCCGCATAAACAGTTTCATCAACACCACCACAATCATCATCACCAGCATCATCATCGTCATCGTCAACACAGCATCATCACCAGCATCATCATTACCAGCATCAGCATCAGCATCACTACCCTCATGAGTTTGCACCATATACCTCCTACTTCGCGTTGCCACCCTGCTTCTCCATCCTCCTACATACTCCTCGCCCGCCCCCATGAAGGTCGCACGTTGCAGACATTGCGGCGAAAGTCCGTCACAACCTCGACGCTGGAGTCCTTGGCCTGCGCAACACGCGGCGACAAAACAACGTCGGCACGCAGAACTAGCGGCAAGAGGGACAGACATATCCCTTCCCGAGGAGGCAGGATGAGGGGGAGGGGAGAACAGGAAGCAGCGAGGCGGCGAAGAACGGCGACATGTTAGGAAACAGGTTCGGTGTTGCACCACTCCGCACGGGACCCTCGAACAACAGGGCCCCGAGGCGGCAGGATGGAGGCGTGAGGAGGGGAAGGATGCGAGAAGAGGGAGGAAGGAGGAGGGAGGAAGAGGCTCACGACGACGACGACGACGACGACGATCACGAGTGGAGACTATAGAGGAAAAGGAATGATGGGCCATGGCTTCGAGCAACACTCTCGCACTCGATCCGACCACGTGTGATGCGTCGGGTCTCACCGAGGCACCCGCTCTACACCGCTTGGCAACCGCAGCCTGCGCCCCCTCCTCCGCCTCATTTTTCCTCCGCTCCGATCGTCTTTCTCGCTTCTCAGCCTCCTCCTCCTCCGCCTCCTCCGCCTGATCTTCCTCCTCTTCCCCATCGACCCCCGAACGCCTCGGTCCTGCTCCTCCCGTTCCTTCTCCTCCTCCTTCTCCTCTTCCTCCTCTCCATCCTCCTACTCCTCCTGCTCCTCCGCCTCATCCTCCTCGTGCTCCTCCTCCTCCTCCTCCTCCTGCTCCTCCTCCTCCTCCTCCTCCTCCTCCTCCTCCTCCTCCTCCTCCTCCTCCTCTGAGGGGGAACGTTGGGGGTGGGACCGGCTCGGGCGTGCCGGGGGGGAACATCGACCTGCAATGGGCGATACATTGCCGACAAATCGGCGATAGGCCCCCGATAGCGACTCCGCAAGCTCCTGGGCGGGGTGGGCTATCAGGCCCCTACCTCACGCACGCGCTAACGTGGATTGCGGATCCATGGATCTGGCGCGTGAGCGCCACATCCACAGATCTGGGAAAGTACCCCCCGACACGTGAAGCCATTTCGGCCTCGTCGCGGCGTTCGCAGCAGCAGCAGCAAGTGGCAGCGGCGCGACAACAGTAGCAGCATGCAGAAGGCAATGCAGCGGCGGCGTCTTCGAGCGGAGAAGAGCAGGAGGAGGTGGGAAGAGGCGGAGGGAGACAGACTGTGCTGCGGAGGGAGGGCGAAAGACTTATCAATCAGAAAGTTTTGGAAGACAAATCGATGCCGAAATAAAACAAAACCGTATACCTTCAACACCCTAGACGTACATTGGTGTGTAGATGCACCCCTCCCAAAACAAGGCAGCGTAAACGCATGAACACATGCGCGCACACACACGCACACACACAAACACACACACACACACACTAACACACACACACACACTAATAAAGACTCTTGTCAGGCAGGCGCAGGAGGTGGAGCTCGCGCGGCGGCGGGGGAGAGAGCTCGCGCTCGCGCGGCCATCGAGGCCACCACCCCGTTCTCCGCAAGCCATGTGAACCAGGGCCCCAGCGAGACCTTGCGACGGACAGGAACGGATGGGCGGAGGAAGAAGGAGAAGGGTGGGTGAGGAAGGATGGATGGAGGAGGAAGAGGAGGGGGAGGAGGAGGTACCGGGCGGATGGACGAGAAGGAGGAGGAGGGACGCGGAGAGCCAAGGACGAGGGAGGAGGACGCAGATGGAAGACCGGCTCGGGTGAAGAAACACCGACCTGAACTCGGCGATGCATCGCAGATGCATCGGCGATGTCCCACCGACTGCGACCCCGCGTCCCAGGCAGGAAGGGCGCATCGGGTCCCCCATCGGCGATCCATGGACGATTGGGATCGCTGCGTCCCCCCCTGAGCCGATCCACCCCACGTTGCAACGGAGACGAGGATGAGAGGGTGAGAAGGGTGAGGCGTGCTTTTCTCACAGCGCGGACCCCCAGAGGTCTGGACCCCTTCCCTGGGACCGACGCTTCATCCCAAACCGTTGTTTGACAGCCCCCATGTTCAGCGAGGGCCCCCAGAGACCGAGCATCGCCAAAAACCTGCCGTCGCTACTTTTCCACGACGAGGGGAGGAGGGGGGAGGAAGGGTGGGCCCATCGGGTCCCTCTAGGCGATGAACAGTCGGGAACTGTTGCTGAGCATTCCGCTGTGGCGGCCCCAGCGACACGCTATGTCCTGCGAGAAGATAGCGGGTCGCTCCGCTCCGCGGGGCGGGAGGCTGGAAAAAGGTGATGCCTGGGGACCAGGAAGTGGTCAGCGAGTCGCGCCGAAGGGTCGGAACCGGCGGCGCGACACGCTAAGCCAACGTTGCCCCTCTCGTCGCAGCGGCACCGCCGCCGTCGACCGCCGCGGCCGTCTGCCGGTGGCCACCAGCGCCGCCGCCGCCCTCACGGCAAGCGCCAGCCGGCGCCTCCTCCTCGGACGTCCAGGTCGTCGTCCGCATGGTCGTCGTCCTCATCCATGAATTTTCCTTCTACGTAACTCCTCCCTGCCACACCCCCAGACGTGTCAGTAGGGCGTGTCAGTAGGTCTCTCCCTCTCTTTCCCTCTCTCTCTCTCTTTCTCTCTCTCTCTCTCTCTCTCTCGCTCTCTCTCTCTCTATATATATATGTGTCGTTATCTCTCTCTCTCTCTCTTTCGATCTCTCTCCCTCTCTCTCCCACTCTCTCTCTCTCTCTCTCTTTCTCTCTCTCTCTCTCTCTCTATGTATGTATATCTCCCTGTCTCTCTCTTTCTCTTTATATCTCCCTCTCTCTCTCTGCCTCTCTCTCTCTATATATATATTTCTCCATCTCTCTCTCTCTCTCTTCCTCTCTCTCTCTTTCCCTCTCTCTCCCTCTGCCTTGCTTTCTCTCTCTCTCTGTCTCTCTCTCTCTCTCTGAAGTCACAGCGTTGCACAACAGAGTGGCAGCTACTGGCACATGGATGGACTAGATGGTGGGGGTCTCGAGGCCGAGACGGACAATGGGAGAGCCAGGAAGAGAGGGGACGCGGAGCACAAGACAGAAAATGGAAAGAAATCGAGGGCATCACCAGTAGTGGTCAATGGAATCGCGATTCGAATCCAACCCGTTTGAGATGCATCCAGGGAGACACGAGCAGCTTCTTTGAAATCGTTCGTCCGTGGTCCATCCACTGACCAAGAGCTTCCGAGGCGATCACGGGAGGTGACCGAAGCAGCACAGACTGGGTCTCACACCATTGCCATTCGCGGATCCTGTTTTCCGAAAACGGGAGCCAGCTCGCGAGCCGAGCCGAGAACAAAGAAACAAGAGAATACTCCCTCCTTCTCCTCCTCCTCCTCCTCCTCCTCCTCCTCCTCCTCCTCCTCCTCTTGCTGCCCCGACCCGACTCGGGATCGGCCCGACAGGCCTGGGTGGCGCCGGAGGCGAGCAGCGCCCGCCGGAAGAGGTCCACGCCGGCGGGGTCTTTGCTGCGGGTGGCCTCGGGCGGGGCGGCGGGGCAGCGGGCAGAGGCGGCCGCGGCGGCAGCGGCGGCGGCCTCCTCTCGGGGGCGCGCAGACATGGATTAGCGATCCACGGACTTGGCGCGCGGTCGCCATATCCATGGATCGGGGGAGGCGCCCTGCCCAGGATGCGGCCAGCGCCGCCTCGCCTCGTCCGGCGGCAGATATCCGCGATTTCCTCTGGAAACGGGTCGGGCGTGTGGAACATGGTTTAGTGATCTGTACCGGGGGCGCCCCGCCGTCCCATTTCCACTAATCGGAACTGTCGTCACCCGAAAAAACACCACCTATGGCAAACCTGGTTTAGTGATTCAAGCTCCGGGGCCCTACCACTAACCGGGTCCCCTTACCTGGGGTCCTGGCCATACCCGAACGGGACCCGTGGCTAATCCACGCCCCCTTGATCCATGCTTGCGATGGCCTGAGCGGTGGCCGGAGGCGGCAGCGGCGGCTGCCCTCTTCGGGCGCGCGCGCAAAGGGGGGGGGGAGGAGGGGCGCGCACGCACCTCGGCCTCGAGGGTATCCAGACTTCGTTTTGTGCCTCGCTACGCTGCCCCCCCCCACCATTCCCCCCCCCCCTAGGGGGCCACATGCGAACGAACCCTATCCCTGCCCCCCACGATTTCTGAGGGGGAGGGTGGGGTTCACTCCGCCCGGGAGCTCCCGAGCGGAGTGAACCCCACCATCCCCCTCCGAAATCGTGGGGGGCAGGGGTAGGGTTCGCACGTGGCCCCCTACCCCCCCCCCACCCACCACGCAAGCGAACTCGCCGGGGTCTGCGGGAGAGCAGCCTCCTGGGGCGCGGAGCGTGCCCCCGGGAGCGGCGCTGGGGCACGGGCTCCGATATCCAAGAGCGTCGCTCGCGAGGGCCTCCGGAAGTGCGTGCTCGTGCAGATGCTCCCGCTTCGGGCGGGCAAAGAGAGAGAGAGAGAGAGGGACAGGGAAGCGGAAGCCGGAGAGCGGAAGCCGGTCGCGGAAGCTGTAGCCGCACGTGCAGCTCTGCAAAGGGACTCCACCCACGGCTCCAGGCCTGGGCCGTCTTTTCGGCGCCGTCGCAGTCCAGTTGCCTTCGGGCGTCGCTCGTGCTGGAACTGGTGCGGTCGTCGGTCTGTGCAGGGTTGAAGCGGCGGGCATCGGCGTTGGCTATTGCGCTGTGCTGGGTGGCCGAGCGGGGACGAGCGGGGGACGAGCGAGAGACGGAGCGGGGGAGGGAGGGGAGGGGAGGGGAGGCGGAGCAGGGGAGACGGAGCGGGGGAAGGAGGGGAGGCGGGAGGAGGGAGGGGAGCTGGCGCGGCTCCCCTGTGCGCAGTGCCGGCCCCTCGGGAGTTAGCCATCCTTGCCGGGCCACTGGGGGATCTGGTCACGGATGGCTCGGGGATCGAGGCGGCCTCGTCGCCGTCGTCTTGCGGCGTCGGCGCCGCCTCAATCCACTGGCGCCTGTTGGGGCGTCGCTGGAGGCTCTCTCAACGACTCCCGGCCGGTCGGGGCTCGGAGGAGCGGCCAGGAGGTGCCCCAGGAGGGCCACGAGAGGCGCGGCGTCCCCCCCCGTCGGCTGCGCGCAAGGGGAGGCCCTGCAGGCAGGGACCTCAAGAGGGCCGTGGGGGGGGGCCACGGATCCGAGCGAGGGGCCACTGCGGCGAGGTGGGTCGCGCTGGCGATCCGGGGGTCGAGGCTCCCAGGGCTGGCGGCCGAGGCCCCCGGGGCCCTCGCGGGCGCGCGGGTGGCCCCGTGCCAAATGGGAGGCCACGACCCTGCCCTCGTCCCGGAGATGGACCATAGGGGTGCCCATGCAGACAGCTGGAAGGAGGTTTCAAGATCGCCACCGAGCCAGCGTGATGCCAAGCAACGGAATGGGGACAGTATGTTTCAGGCTGGCAGGGTCGGGCCGGGGATTGGTTTCCATGAGATCCGCCGCTGCAAAACATGCAGCGTCGGGAACATTTCACGACCTAGAGCCCTGGACGGGCCCCTCCTTCTGCGCCACACTTCGAGTCGGATGGATCTGCGTGGGGGTCCCGGGACCCGCAACGGGGCGAAATCACCCGCTGTGAGGAACATGCGCCGCCAGGGCCTCGGGCCGTGCCGCCGCACAGCGCTGCCGCGGCCGCTGCGGCCCTGCTGCCTCGTCCGCGCAGGCTGCCGCGGAGCGCCGCGCCTGGCAGGAGGCCCTCCCCTGCGCTCCGGCTTAGAGAGGGACGGCGGCGGAGGCCCCGCGCCGCGGTGGGGCCTGCAGCGGGGCGGGGGCCCCGTGAGGGTGGCGTGGGTTCTCGGGGGACCCAAGAGGTACCGATACCGCGACTCCCCCGACCTCGCCCCGGGGTGCTCTCCGACCAGAATCTCGAGGCGAGGCCAGCGGTGGCGACGAGGGCCTCCCATCGCGGGAGGCCCCACGAGGGGAACGCGAGGGAAGGGTAGCGGCATGGGTACCTGTTCCTCCTCCGAGGTTCTGGCAGAGGGAATCCTGTGTGTGCCCATGATCGCGCACTGAAGCCCCGAGCTCGCAGGGGCCACGCCCTGAGATCCCGGCGTTACGATGTTTTCACAACGGGCGTGCTCGCCGGGTTTGAGGCCCCTACGGGGGATATGGCGACCCCAATCCTCGACGTTGGGAGGTTTAGGACTGGAACCAAAATGTTGGGTCCGACCCTGGGAGATACGATGGGGGGGGCGTCCATCCTCGATATGGGTGCGTCCGAATAGCCCTGCTCTTCTGAGCGGCCATACTTTTCGGGCGGAGCTCGATGATTGGAGGAGGAAGACCGCCTGCGAGCCACGTGACCCTCACAGATCGATCAGGCTCGAGAATGAATGCAGAAAGCTGGGATCCGGGACTCTGGCTGTGATTTTTCGCGGTGCTGCATTGGTGTCTGCGTCGTCGGATCTCAGCGCCAGAGCACGCATGGGCCGCAGGGCACTGGGCTCACAGAACACCCTGCCGGCAGGTGCGACATCCCAGCTGTCTCCGACCTCATTCTTCACATCCAGCACCAACTCCTCCTCCTCCTCCTCCTCCTCCTCCTCCTCCTCCTCCTCCTCGCCCTCCTTCGCTGTGTTCGTGGTTGTGCCGTCGAGGTCGGAGAGTGCTTGGAGAGGGTTGCCGACATCGGCACAAAGGCCCCACGCCCATCCACATCCTCAATATGACTGTCGTGGACCGCCGGAGGTCCAACTATTGAGTTGAAGGCATCGCCAGAAGAAGTCGGCCTGTGTCGATAAGTTGATATGTGCTGCTCATTTTCGGCGTCGATCGACACGGTCCAAAACGGCCTGGAGACGGACGGCGGGAGCTGATCCTCTCGGACTCAGGTAGAGGGAAGGTTGGAGACCAATGTCTGCTACTTCTGCGGAGGACAGTCATCGTGCTACCATGAAGAACGCAGACTCAGAGACGAAGGGCCCTACTGGCCACGGCGAGCATCGGCCGCCACAAGGTTCCCCGACCTAGGTCTAATAGAGTGCTTGATCTACCGCCGCTCTGCTGTGAAAAAATGCCCCCCCTCTTCCTCCGGAACCCGGGGGTCCCCCCCACCCCCTCGAAAATCCCACCCCCCCCTGCTCGAACCCCTCCCCTCCCCCCCTCCCTTCCCCTGGCAACCCCCCCCCTAACCCCTCTCCCCCCCCTTCTCTGGAAAACCGGGGGGGTCACTGCCAGTTCGAACCCCCCTCCCCCCCCCCTCCAGAAAACTGGGGGGGTCACTACCGGTTCGACGCCACCGCCCGCAGAAGACTCCCCGGTCCCCACCACCGTCCCCGCTGTTGTCCCCACTGTCCCCACCACTGTCCCACTGTCCCACTGTCCCACTGTCCCCACTATCCCCGCCGCTGTCCCACTGAACTGTCCCACTGTCCCCACCACTGTCCAAATGTCCCCACTGTCCCCACCAGTATCCCCACTGTACCACTGTCCCATTGTCCCACCACCGTCCTCACCACCGCCTTCACCACTATCTCCACCACCACCGTCCCCACCTCTGTCTCACTGTCCTCACTGTACTCACCACCCACTGTCCCCGCTTTCCCCACCAGTGCCCCCACCACTGTCGCACTGTGCCCATCCCACCACGATCCCACTCTCCCCACTGTCCCAACTGTCCCGACCACTGTCCCGAACTGTCCCCACCGCTGTCCCACTGTGCTGCCCCACTGTCCACTCTGTCCCCACCACTGTCCCACTGTTCCCACTGCCCCCACCACTCTCCCCACTGTACCACTGTCCCACCACCGTCCTCACCACCGCCCTCACCACCGCCCCCCCTACCACCGTCCCCACCACTGTCCTACTGTTGTCCCCACCACCACCGTCCCCACCACTGTCAAACTGTCCCCATTGTCCCCACCACTGTCCCATGTCCCCAGTCCCCACCACTGTCCCCACTGTCCCCGCCAGTGCCCCCACCACTGTCGCACTGCCCCCACTGTTCCCACAACTCTCCCCACCACGGTCCCACTCTTCCCACTGTCCCCACTCCCCACCAACATCCCCACTACCGTCCCAACCACTGTCCCCACCAGTCCCCCATCCGGAGTGGGAGATGAAGGGGAGTCGCTGCGGCGGCAAGGGGGTGGGGGGGGGAGGCGGGGGGGTTCGAACCGGTATCCCTCCGGTTTTCCAGGGGGGGGGCGGGAGGGGTTCGAACGGGTAGTGAACCCCCCTCTTTTCCTGATGGACGGGGGGGGGGGGACGGGGGGGGCTGGAACCCCCAATGACCCCCCCCCTGGCTTTCGAGAGGGGGTGGGGACGGATTGGAAACTCCCAGTGCCCCCCTCCGGTTTTCTGCCAGCAGCGGTAGAAGACGCTCTTCTTTCAGATCTAAGGAACGGCCCGAAGACTAGAGGCCCTCCCGACCCCAAATTGCGCCTTATTTCAGCGTCTTGACTGCAACGTGCGTGCCCAGGCCAGGAGCGTTCCTGTACACCTCCTCCACCTTGCAAGCACTGCCGCTCGCCGCGACCATCGTCGGCGACATCCCTGGTGCGATGTGGGGGGCCCGAGGGCCCCCTCTGGACGCCAGGAGCGAGGGGCAGCACCCCAAGAAAAGCGAGGCTGCCACAGAGCAGAGACGTTTCTTGGTCCATTCCGACGGCGGCCGCTGCCGGCTGGGCAGGCAAGGCTCGGCTATACGCAAGAGTGACCCTGGGTAAGAGTGACCTTTGGTGCGCGGCTTTTTGGGGGTCGCGGGGGGACCAAACCTGGGCGCGCAAGCCGCTGCTACCGCTTCGTTTTTCAGCCATCTGGGGACCCAGCTGTGCCAGCACCAAAGGTCACTCCGGCGAAAGGTCACTCTTACGTCTGGTCGAAAGGCTCGCTATGCGAGCGGGCCCGGGCCGCAGCGACACCGACCGCGAGCCCCATTTCGAGGCGGCCCGTCCCCACGTCGAGTCCTCCGGAGCCCCCCTTGTCGGCAGCACCGCCACCGGCAGTGCTTTGTTATCCCGCCCCGGGGCCGCTGCCTGCGGGCCCAGGAGCCCAGGGACGGCCCGCGGGGCCCAGGATCTGAAAAAGCAGAAGGGCAGCCCAAACCACAAAAAAATGCAACCTGACAGATGCCTGATATTACAACAACAACAACAACAACAACAACAACAACAACAACAACAACAACAACAACAACAACAACAACAACAAACATGGCGCTGCTTTGTCACTACGCCCAGCCGCACCACTGCCCCCGGGGGCCTCCAGGAGGCAGCTTTTTCCAACCCTCCTGTGTTGGGTTCTCGCTTTGAACAGAACGCTGCGGTCCCACACCTTCTCCATCTCATTCCCCGTCCTCTCCCCTCCTCCTCCTCCTGCCTCCTCCTGCGTTGTTCCCTGGGTGGCTGCGAACTGCGCAACTGTCGCCACTGTCGTGGGCTCCTGTGAGGCACGCCGTAGTCGGGGAGTAAACTGAGTAAACGGACCGGTTGAGACCTCGCAACTCAATGGGGGGGCTGCGAGCTACGCAACGGTCGCCAATTTCGTGCGCTCCTGGGAGGCACGCTGGAGTCGAGTAGACGGGCCCTGCCGAGGTCTCGCAGCTCACGGGGGGGCTGCGAACTGTGCAACTGTCGCCACTTTCGTCATGCCTCCTCCTGCGTTGTTCCCTGGGTGGCTGCGAACTGCGCAACGCGCGCCACTGTCGTGGGCTCCTGGGAGGCACGCTGGAGTCGGGGAGTAAACGGGCCCAGCCGAGACCTCGCAGCTCCTTGGGGGACTGCGAACTGTGCAACTGTCGCCACTTTGGTGAGCCCCTGGGACTCTGGGAGGCACGGCGGAGTCGGGGAGTAAACGGACCCAGACTAGACCTCGCTGCTCCCTGGTTCAACTGTCGGGACTTTCGTGCGCTCCAGGGAGGTCCAGCGGAGTCGGGGGCCACGCGGATCCAGCCAACCTCGCAGCTCCCTGGGAGGCTACGAACTGCGCAACTGTCGCCACTTTCGCTGGCTCCTGGGAGGCACGGCGGAGATGAGGGCAGCCCTGGTCGTGCATACCTGGCGATGGGAGCTTTTGTTTTGTATGGAGCCGTTCATACAACTATCCGCCTCGCGTGAAGAACGGGCTGGGTACGGGTCGGGTAGAATATTTTGGGCATGCACACGCGGTGTGCTCTTCCATGGGGCGTGCCGGGTGCGGCACTTCAGGCCCAATGCGAGACTCCACTCCAGAAGCGCGAGCAGAGGGAAGCGTACACATCGTTCATTTCTAATCCTGCTCGTTTCTAATTGTGCTCGTTTCTGATTGTTCCTGGCCCCCTAGTGGCCAGGAAGAGGCCCAGGATAGAACAATTAGAAATGAAAGGATCTTGGCCCCCCAAAAAACACAGTACTTTCGAAGAATCAGAAGTGAACCATGTGTACCAGAAGCCAGCCCTTTCGCAGCCCGCTGGCCTCCAGGACACAGTTTATCCTCACCTTCGGGGCCACGCGCCTGGCCTGCGCGCAGGGGCGGGGCTGCTGGGAAGACTGGAGCCCTGATCGGGGATGGACAGACCTCCCTTTAGTAAAACGTGGTTTAGTAAAAACGACCTGAGGCCCAAACCTGGCGGGCGCAAGCCTGGAAAATAACGGCCGCGGCGCCCTCCCGAGAGCCGAAAACGGACAATTCACGAATCGACGTGTCACTATTGGGGGTTCTGTCCACCCCTGACCTGAGATCCTGGCGTCGCCGACTTGTCACACTGGGCGCTTTTTTGGCCGTGTCGTGGGCCGCGGGGGCCCTCGCGGATCGATCCGGCTCGAGGGATGCGGCAGCATGACGGGCTCTGGGGCTGCGGCCGTGGTGTCTCAGGCCGGTGCAGCTTTCTCACGTGACGTCTCGGATCTCAGAGAAGGGAGCCCTGGGAGGGGTCGGGGGCGCCAGTGAGGGGGGGGGGGGCAGGAAGAGGGGAGCCGAGGCATTGCAGCCCGCGGCGTGCGCGCGCGGACGAGCGGGGGCCGTGGGGCTGCACGAGAAGAAGAGGGTGGCCATGGAATCTGGGAGATCTCATGGCCCTGGGAATACTATCCACACACACACACAAGCCGCTCAGTCCTCACCCCCGACTCTTCGGCGCATCCAGCGGCTGTTCGGGACGATCTGGGCACCCCTGGAAAGCTCCCGACGAGGCGCAGTTGCCGGTGAGCACCCCGAGGCGAGGAAACCTCCAAGATCCAGCGACAACTTCCTCCACCCCTCCCCCTTCGACAACGAAAAACTGCTCTCACCCCCCTTTCGGACGCCCCCGAGAGAGGGCGGAGCGAGAGGCAGACGGCAACAGAGCGCCGGGAAAGGAGAGAGCGACACGCGTCTGGCCATGGCCCCTTGCTATTTACCTGTCGGCCTTCGGCGGGAACTCTCTGGCGGAGTTCGGCGGTCTGCCGAGACATCCTCGCGTCGCGAAAAAAACAAGACGGAAGGTTTTTGGCAATTGGCCTCTGGATGCCCTCACAAGGCCCTAGAACCAAAAAACGACTCTGGGAAGGGGTCCAGACCTCTAAGGAGCCACGCTGCAAAAAACACTACGTCGGATGTCTAGATTCTGCGCGAGCGAGGCATTGCCGCGCTTGGCAAGGAGGGCCCTGACCAAACACAGAAGGCAGCGGGGAGCAGGAAAATGAGAAGCGTGAATGGCGTGGAATGGACCCCATCACGATGCGATAAACCGAAAAACGCCGGAAACCAAGCTACAGGGAAGACCCTCGCTTGGTCGGCAAATCCTTGGGCCGCTGCCTGTCCTTCATACGATGTACTTCCCAACCATCCTGCGGTGCTGGGTCCACGTTTTGAATCCGCAGCCCTCTACGGATCCTGTTCCTCCTCCTGCCTCCTCCCCGCAATCCTCTCCCCACCGTCCCCGTAATCGTCATCACAATCGTCATCACCATCACGACCACCATCATCAAAATCACCATCATCGCCAACTTCATCGTCATCATCATCATCACCACCATCACCATCACCAACACCAACACCAACACCATCATCATCATGCCGATCCTCATCTTGATCCTCATGCTCATCCTCATTATCATCACCAACACCATCATCATCAACATCATCAGCATCCGCACAGTCATCATCATCCTCATCATCATCCTCATCCGCATTATCATCGCCATCATCATCAGCAGCATTATCATAATCAACAGCAGAAGCACCATCAGCATCATCAGCAGCAGCAGCATGCATCATCATCAGTACCATCATCATCACATACCACCATCACCACCTTCATCATCATCATCATCATCAGCAGCAGCATCATCATCATCATCGTCGTCGGCATCATCATCATCATCACCACCCAACCACCATCACCACCATCTTCATCGTCATCAGCAGCAGCATCATGAGCATCATCATCATCATCACCACCCAACCACCATCACCACCATCGTCATCATCATCAGCAGCATCATCATCATGAGCATCATCATCATCATCATCATCATCATCAGCACAATCATCACCATCATCATCGTCATCATCATCATCTTCTTCTCGTCATCTTACAACCATCATCATAAGCAACATCAGCATGACCATCAGCATCATCATTATTATCAGCATCATCATCATCATCATCATCACCATCATCATCTTCATCAGTCACACTTGGGCACACACACCCCACACGTTTCGTGCCCCCACAGGAAGCGCCACCAGAGTCTCAAGCGGCATGGCCCGCATGGCGTCCCCCCGCACACTTCGGCGCACACCCCCCACCCCCTTTCGCGGACCCCGCAGGGTGCTCCGCAGAAGGCCTCGGTGGCATGGCCGAATCGTGGATCGGCGAGGGTCGCATCTCGCCGCCGAGGCAGCATGCGAAAACCGACCCCGAAGCTGCCCAGGCTCTGGGCACGACACGGCGGAAGGAATGATCGAGGGCTCCTCACGCAGTGTGTGGGCAGCTGGCGGGTTCCAGAACCCCTGGATCAACCAAAATGCCGTATCATAAGGGGTGCTACTCTGACCTCCACCCGCTTCCGCCGGCTGTCCTCTTTGTTGGTCCCTGCTGCGTCAGGCTCCGGAAGTGGCTGGGCCCAAAGGCTGCCGCAATCGCGGCGCCGTCGCAGCTGCAGTCGATGTGGGAGCCCACGGAGACGCGCGAGGTGGACGGCAGCTTGCGCCGGCTTCCGGCCTCCGCCGGGCGAGCCGCCCGCGCTTCACTTCCGCCGCCTGCCGCCCGGCCGTCCGCCGCCTTCCGCCGAGGAAGAAATGTCAGCCTCTCTCTCTGCCGCGAAGACGGGGCCCTCGCTGGAGCGCCCCGCGTGGGCGGCGGAGAGAAGCGGGTCTTACGCGAGATGGCATACAGTCAACGCGCAAGGTGAGGAGGCACGATAAGGATGTAAGGGCCTTGGAAGGCCATGTCGACACTTTTCGAGCGGGGAGCGGCTGGCGAATATTGGCCAAGGAAGGACCGAATGGGGAGGGTGCAAGGGTAGCCTTGGATAAACCGTTCATCCGTTGTATCCGCGTTGACTGTAGCGACCGTACGCCGCGGCTTACGCGGGCCGCCAGCATGACAGGCCACGTGGAAGACGGAACGCTTACGCGCGACCTTTGGCGGAACGCACACGCGTGAATGTCGACGCAGGCGATCCTGGTTTCCTGTGCCGCTCATGTGGTGAGAAACGGGTATGCCGCAAAATGGCAACAACAAAAAAGGACCGCTGGGACAGAGACCAACGACGCCCACCGACATCTCCCTCCACCTTCCTGGGCCCCAGGTGTGGCCGAAACCCGCGTGGCCCCCCAAGACACAGACCACGGCATCCACTGCGCCAGCGCCGGGACGGACCTCAAGACCCCATCCCCGCCTCGGCGACGTAGCGCTGCCCAAGCGCGACTTTCTTGGGGTCCACCAACACAATGACGACTTTCACCTGATTCAAAGGGAGAGGTTTCCCTTCCCACTACGCCTGCTCCTCCTCCATTGCAGTGCCAAGGAGAGCAACAACAAAAAAAACATCACCTGTAGGAGTTCGGCGCGGACTTCTTGGGTCAGCACTGGGCCGCGCTTCCCTGGCGCGCGGAGCGCGCCGCCAGGGGAGCCAGCGCCCACCAAAGAAATCGACGCGTGGCTTCGAAAATATGTGCTACAACAGGTGCGCCAGTCGTGCTTTTGTTTTTTGGAATAACGCCTTCTTAGCAGAGCGGGCTGCGAGCGCACAGCTCTGAGCCGAAAGGGGGGCCTAGCGACACCACAAGCAGAAATCCGAGCGGGCCTCCGAAAGTCTACGCAGATGCCGCATGATACAGCTTCTGGCTCCTTGAAGACGCCTGTCGCTCTTTTTATTCTTAGACGCCCACACGTCGGGGCACAGCCATCGGGCTGCATGCAGGGCAACCGAACCAGCAACGAAGGGGCTCCTCGGGCCACGATCAGACTCGGCCACGAGTAGGTGCCCCCGCCCTGGACCTGGGGAGCGGCGGTGGACAGAAGCAGTATCAGTGACACTGAAGGGGCGCTGGGACACACAAATAAATGCACACAGATAAGAGATTCCCCATAGTTTCCCATATTTTCTGGGCGTTTGTCTTCCCCCCCACTTCCCATAGTTTCCCATCTTTTCCTGGGAGTGGACGATAAATTCGTGCCGGGCACACCGGGCGACCGGTCGAGAGTGAAAGAGCGGGGTGGTGGGAGGCGGAGGAGGAGGGGGAGGAGGAGGAGGAGGAGGAGGAGGACGAGGAGGAGGAGGCGGAGGAGGAGGAGGAGGAGGAGGAGGCCGGGTAGAGCACGGTGCCCGAGCCGTGCCCGAATGGCTCCCGAATGGGCCGCCGAGTTGTTCCACGCTCGTCTGGGGGGTAGCGTCGTGCTCTCGCGCCCGTGCCTCAGACTGCATAAGGCGGCATTGCGCGCGACCCTCAAACTGGCGCCAGCGTCGCCACCACAACGAGCAGCGTCGCCCATCAGCGTGGTACTAGCACGCCGACGGGCTACCAACGGCAGCGTGCCATTGATACTACTTCTCCAACCCGAACTTCGGCGCCTTGTGGGATACGACCGCGCAGCTCCAAGCCATGCCCGCAGCCCGTGCCCGAGCAAGGGGGGCCGCCGCGGACCCGACGGGCCGTCCGCGTGCGCCCGCAAGATCGGCAGGTGGATTTCGGGCGGGCTGGCCGTGCCCATGTCAAGTCCATCGTCGTCCGCCTCCGCCTCCGCCTCCGCTTCCGCCTCCGCCTCCGCCTCCTCCCTCTCCTCCTCCTACTCCTCCGCATCCTCATTCTACACATCCTCCCCCCCCCTCCTCCAATACCCAATGAGCTTCCTCCTTCTCACTGTTCTCCCCCTCGTTGTCCTCCTCTACCTGCCCCCTCCGACTCCTCCACGTTTTATTGCTCCTCCTCCTGCTGCTCCTCCTCCTCCTCCTCGTCATGCTCTTTCTCCTCCCCATCCTTTCACTGTTACTGTTTCTCCCGTTGTTCCTCCTCCTCCTCCTCCTCCTCCTCCTCCTCCTCCTCCTCCTCCTCCCCCTCCTCCTCCTCCTCCTCTTCTCCACCACCACCATCACCACCATCATCCTCATCCTCACGATCATCATAACCACTTCCACCACCATCAACGCCACGACGACCACCACCATCGTCGTCAAAATCTTGGTCGTGGTCATCATCGCCACCATAATCATCACCACCACCACCACCATTAGCATCATCGTCATCGCCACCAGGGTCATCAGCAGCAGCAGCATGCATCCTCAGCAGCAGCAGCATCAGCACCATCAGCATCATCATCATCATCACCACCACCACCACCACCATCATCATCATCATCATCATCATCATCATCATCATCATCATCAGCTTCATCATCATCTTCATCATCATTGCCGATATCATCACCGACAGCACCATCATCAAAAGCATCGTCGTCGTCGCCAGCATGATCGTCATCACCATCATCAGCAGCAGCATAATCATCCTCAGCAGCAGCAGCAGCGTCAGCATCAGCATCAGCATCAGCAACATCATATCGTCATGAGCAAGCAGGTCATCAGCAACAGCAGCAGCATCATCATCATAATCATGGCCATCGTCAATAGCATAATCATCATCATCGTCATCATCATCAGCCGCAACAACATCATCATTAACAGCATCATCCTTATCATTAACAACAAAATGTCATCATCACCGTCATCATCATCGTCATTACCACCATCATCATCATCATCATCATCATCATCATCAGCAGCAGCATGATCGTCGTCATCATCATCATCATCATGAACATCAGCATCATCATCATTATCATCATCATCATCACGAACAGCAGCAACAATAAAACCAACCTCATCAGCATCTAATCACAATCATAATAATCATCATCATCATTATCATCATCATCGTCATCATCATCATGACCATCATCACCCTCATCATCAGCAGCATCATCATCGCCGACCAACCGAAATATCGGACGGTCCTGTCTGAGGCCACTAGAAGCTCGCTTACAGCTAGGGGCGTTCGGGTATTCTCTTACGCGTACCTCGAGTGCGACCATGTGAAGCAATCTGAACCAAATTCGAAGTTTGGGAGTTCCCTACATTTGCGAGCGCTCCGGCGTTCGGAATCTCTCCTGAGCTTTTTGCAGGGCTTTTCCCCGCCCGCACGTACGTGTTTGGATATTCTCTCTTGCCACACCCCATTCCGTAGCCCAGTCTTTGAATCCACTCAATCCCAAGTGGGCGAATGCAACCCAGGTACTTCGATGGACAGCTCGGAGACTGGCACAATCAGCCTACCTGCACCACCCCTGGACCGCTTGGTCAAGCACGAGTATGAGGCACATGTCGGGGAGGGGGCTGAGAACCCATGCGTGACAACCGGAAGTGGAGGAGGGCCCTGCAACCCGCTCCAGGGCAAGAAGACCTTGAGTGGAATGTCGAACGGGTTCGGTGCTGTACCGCTTGCCTCCTCGCGCACGCGAAACAAAGGGGAAAAAGAGCAGGAAACAGAAAGCCGTGACTGAACGGGCAACTTGCCCGAAGCAGAGAGCAATGAGACCAGACGGAGTGGGGAGAGGACGTGGCATCGAGTGTGAACTGACGCGGAAATTGACTGGAACCAGCGCGGGATCGAAACCAACGCACGTTCTGGTTGGCCGAGGTGCGCGAACTGCATAGGCCCAGGCGCAGGAGCGGGACATTTTCAGCCGCTCCTACCAATGAGCGCTGGGGATCGCGTGAAAGGCATCATCTCCGCCCCCAGATGGGCACCGCTTCCGGAAAGTAGAACGACAACATCAGAACATCTGCAGCTGTAGTCGGGTAATCCGTCTCCTTCTTTTGCCATGCAGAGCGCCGGTTCACCCGAAAAGCAATGGTTTCGCGCCACGCGCGCTTCGTTGACAGACGGATCGATGAGGCATGCAAAAGAGCAGCGGCGAAAGAGAAGACGAGGGAAGGAAAGGGATGTCAGTCACGCCACGCCCGGTGTCGTCGCGAGCGTCCAGTCGTCCCCCTCCGGTTGGCACCGGGCGGCGAAGGCCAAGAGGGCCCCAAAGAGGGCCCCGAAAGGCTGCCCGAGAGGGAGCAAAAGACAGCCCCAGGGCAGCCCAAGAGGGAGCAAGAGGGCCCCAAAGGCTGCCCAAGAGGGAACAAGACGGCCCCGAGGCAGCCCTCTACGGCCCCAGGAGAGCTCCAGAGACGGCCCAGAGAGGCCCCCCAAACGGCCTCTGAAGGCGCCAGGCGGCCCAAGAGCGCCCTCTGACGGCCCCAGGAAGCCACAATATTGCCCCACGAGCCACTGAAGAGGGCCCGAAAGGTCTGAAAAGATTCCCAATATAACCCCAAGTTCCAAGACGGCCCCAGACGGCCCCAGAGCCCAACCCCAGTTGCTCCCAAGTGGCTCCCCCAAGAGCTAGAGAAACATGCAGTCCACAAGCGTGGCTGCACTTTCTCTCGACGTTTTCAAACACAGGCGCTTCTTGAAGACAGGGGGGCCGGTGACTCACCGAAGACGTCTTCGATACTTGTTGTTTGCACCCGACCGCGTGGCATTAGCAGTACTGGGATGGCTGTGAGACCCCCGGCAGGATCAGTCTGCATTGAATTGGGAAATCGGATCGACTCGGAATGTGCTCCGAGTCGGGCCACACCGGCACAGAAACAGGATCGAATCGGATCGGCCGCGCATCGGACCGCATCGGATCGTCGAATTGGGAAATCGGATCGACTCGGAATGTGCTTCGAGTGGGCCACACCGGCACAGAAACCGGATCGAATCGCATCGGCCGCGCATCGGATCGCCCAGCCCAATGAAAAAAAAACAGCTCGCCAGCAGGTGCCCCACGAAGCCGTCTGAATTCCCATTGGCCCCGGGCACCATGTTGATTTGCGGGCTTCCCGCGATGTCCCAAATCGACCGAACTATCTGCTCCCAGATGTCTTGCAGCAAGAGTTCTTCACGTATGCACCCGCTGTGTTGGGATCGAGCGGGATCGAGCCAGCCGAAATCTACAGCGAATCGCATCGGTCGATGCGAAGTGGACCCAACCTGGGTGGGCCCCCACGCTGCATCACGGGTCTGTGGACCTCGCGCGTGGGCGCCAGTTGCACGGATCGGGGAAAGCACCCCCAAAGCACGAGGCCGGTGCCGCCAGACTTGGCGACGGAGCGCGCCGACTTTGTATGGAAACGGGGCCCGCCGCTAGTTAGCGCGCCCTCGCCGCAGTATAGTGGGCACCCGCCGCGGATGCAGGGTTAGACCTCGCCATCCCCGGGGGGGGCGATCTGCGAAACAGTCGCCACTTTCGAATGCTGCTGGGTGGTCCAGCATAGTGACGTCCTATGCGGACTCAGACTAGACCTTGCCATCCCTGGTGGGCTGCGATCTGTGAAACCGTCGCCAGTTTAGAGGGCTCCAGAAGGCGGCGGAGGAGGAAAAGCGGAGGAGGAGGAGGAAGCGGGGAGGAAAGGGAAAACGAGGTGGTGGAGGTGGAGGAGGAACGGGTGGAGGAGGTTCGGCCAGAGCTGCCGCGGCGGCGGCAACTACCGAGACGTGCCAGCCCTGAGGTGAGGTTGCCCGTCGGGCCCTCTGATCACTTTCGATTCCTGACCACGAGCAATGCTCGCGTGCCCTTGCTCTGCGGCTAGTGCCATCGCGACCTTCCTTCGAGGTTGCCCATTGGGGCCTCTAACAATTCTCATCACGCATATCATTGGCCGGCAGCTCTGTACTGGAGGTAGAAGAAGCGCGCCTGCCTGATGAGTTGTCTTTCGGGTGATCGCTGTCCTGTGAGTCGTCGTGCAAACATTACGCAGCCCATGTAGCTTGCACAACAAATCGCCGCGTCTGCACAGTCGTTGCTCCTGTTTGGCCTACTCCTCTTGTCACTTGGTGCAAATGGGTTGGGTGCGTCGCAGGGTAATTGTCCGTCGAGTCTACGAACAATACGTAGACTGCTCCGTAAATCTACAAGCCTTCTACGTAGAGTCGACGGACATGCCAAGTTCAGGGTTCATCAACTCTGCAGCCGACCCCTACATGAAGAACGACGATGGCGAAGGTGCCCGTGCGGCCCGCTTGCGCGGGGACGTCGGCCAGGCGGCTCGCGGCCAGCGGGGCCGCCAGCGCGCTGGAGGGGTGCCCTGCCTGGCAGGGGCCGCAGCTGGCTGCGGCCAGCGCTACCCCTGGCTGGCGCCCAACAGGACGGCCGAACGACGGCCTCTGCATATTTTTTCTCGTAGCGCTCCGACGCGATGCTCGAGACAAAGGCCGCGAGCGCATCCTTGACGGCCCCGACGCTCTGGGGCCCAGCCACCACCCGCAGCGGCCGGCGGGCGGCCGCGAAGGTCCGCCTGGCCAGCTCGTAGGCGCGGCCCGCCGCTCGCCGAGCCAGCGGGCGCCCCAGGGCGTCCTGCGGCTCCAGGACCAGCGCGCGCGGACCCCGGGGGCCGGCCAGGGACGCCAGCAGGTCGGGGAGGTCGTACTCCTCCAGGACGCCGTGCATCTGCATCTGCCACGGCAGCGTGTGACGCTTGGGCGTCGCTTAAGTGGGGGGGCCATGAAGTGGGGGGGGGGGGTGGAAAGGGTGCACTTCTCGGTCCCTGAAGGCCCCCGTGTGGGCCCAAAGAGCCCCTTCCGGGGCCCTGAAGGGCCTCGTTTCTGCAGCCATCGCTGCCGCGCATTGATCGCCCCCCACTTACGCGAGGCCCAGGACGCGTGGAGCGCACGACGCCGGCGAAGTCGCACAGGCCCTGCACAAGCGCGAGACCAGCCAGCGGCGGCGCGGCCCCGGCGGAGACGTCGCTGGCTAGCCGCACGGCCGCGTGGAGCGCAGCTGCGACCGCGCCCCCGTGCGCGACCAGCACCACGCGCCCGCCCACGCCGGCGGAGGCGGCGGCCCAGGCAACCAGGCTGAGGATCTCGCCTGCGTGCAAGCCCACGTGGGTGCGGCCCAGAAGGAGGGGAGCGAACTCCCAGAGGCCTCCGCGCCAGTGGTCATCACCGACGCCGCATAGACCGGCGACGACGGCGGTGATGCCCATGGCGTGCAGCCGGCCGAGGACCGCCTCCTCGAGGGGCTCCAGGCCGCGGTTGAGCACGGCGTCGCCACCCACGAGCAGCACGAGCGGGGAGGCCACGCCCTCCGCCTCGCGCCGGCGGAACACCCGCACGGTGGCGGCACACTCGCGCATGCTGGGCAGCACGCGCCACTCCTCCGAGGGGCAACACGTCCGGCGGGGGCCGGCTCAAGCGCGGGGGAAGCATCGACCTGGAATCGGCGCGATCGTCGCCGGCAGATCGGCGATCGGCCCCCGAGAGTGGGCTCTCGGGCCCCGGTCGACGAGAAGGGGGCGCCTCTGGGGAGACCAAAGGAGGTAGCGAGACCGCTGCTCCCCGGACCTCTCCAGGGGCGCGCTCTGACCAGGACGCTGGGGCGGAGCCGGCGGTGGCGACTAAGGGCCTCCCGGGAGGCCCAAGACGGGGGAGAACGTGGAAAGGGCAGATGAGTTCCCCCCCCGAGGCGGAGGAGGAGGAGGAGGAGGAGGAGGAGGAGGGAGTCGATGACTTCCCCCCTGAGGCGATCCCCCACGAGCAGCAGCACCCCTCGGCTTCGTAGGCCATGGCTCAGCGCTCCTGCCGCCGTGCGGGGCGGGATGTGGGCCCAGCCGAAGAGCTCTCGGCGAGGCGCAGCCGCTGGAGAGCGCCCCGAGGCTGGGAGAGCGCAGAGCACTTACGAGCACGTTGGAAAACCTCGCACGCCGTCACCAACCAGAAATCCGACGTCGTGACTTCATCATGAGGTGGAACACACAGGGTGACGCCTTTTCTCGGGGAGCGGCTTTTCATCCGAAGGCTGGGAAACCGAAAAGAACTGACGAACACGATGAAAAGCCTCGAACCCCGACCCCAGACCCCAGACGTCGTGATTTCGCACTGACGTGGAACACACATGGGACCCCCTCTTCTGGGAGATCGGCATTTCATCCCGACTCGCTCTGTTGACGGTCTCGAGGCACAGTACAGCGGAGAACATGAAAAAGAAACATCAAGTTCAAGGAACCTGGACCAGCTTCCCAGAACTATCTCAAAACAAGCCTGGACTAACTTCTGCCGTCAACGCTGGAAGGACGAACGTGCTCAAGAAGTCGGGCCAGCGTTCAGGCAAGGTTGTTTGGAAAAGCTCGTCCAGCTTCTCGGGAAGAGGTTTCTTAATCAGATGCGGGCCTCCAGAAGCCAAGGCAACAAAACATCACCCGCGGCGCCAATTGTCCAAGCGTTGCCCCTGATCCTCGGCGCCGATCGGGTGGAAGCACGCCTTCGGGACCTTGCGGCGGCCGTTCGGGACCATCTGGACATGCTCGGAACGCTCTCGGCGAGGCGCAGCTGCTGGAGAGCACCGCAGGGCTAGAAGCCACAGAGAATCCACGAATGCCCGAAAACCTTGGACCTCGAACCCTTAACTTTGCCCATGATCCTCCACGCCGCCGGGAAAGAAGCGCGCCTCATGTTTCTGGGCCTCTTGGGCCACTTGAACTCCTAGCGGGCGCTCTTGGCAATCGCCTGTGGGCCGTTGAGTCGCCTCCATCCTCACCGAAAAATCTTACCTAATGCTGCAGCATGATCGAAACAACATCAATGATGATGATGATGATGATGATGATGATGATGATGGTGATGATGATGCGGATGATGATGATGCTGATGATGATGGTGTTAATGATGATTATGCTGATGATGATGATGGTGTTAATGATGATGATGATGATGATGATGATGATGATGATGCTGATGATGCTGATGCTGATGATGATGATGATGATGCTGATGCTGATGCTGATGCTGATGCTGATGCTGATGACGACGATGATGATGATGATGCTGATGCTGATGATGATGATGATGATGATGATGATGATGATGATGATGATGATGGTGGTGGTGGTGGTGGTGGCGATGATGATGACAACGATGATGACATTGATTTTGACCCTGATCCTCTACGCCGCCGGGGTAGAAGCGCGCCTTGATTGGAGACCCAGCGGCGTGCGGCCCCCGCGGGTCGGGGGTGCCCGCTGCGCCGGCTGCGAGGAGATGGGCCTCGAGGCCCGACGCCCTCCCGCTGGCCCGAGGCAGCGACCGCAGCCACGGCCCGCCAGACCTCTCGGGCCAGGCGCAAGACCCTCGCTCCCCCTCCCAGGCTCCTCCTCGTCCTCCTCCTCCTCCTCCTCCTCCTCCTCCTCCTCCTCCTCCTCCTCCTCCTCCTCCTGGCTCCTCCTAGATGGCGGATTCCTAAATGGCAGGGGGCGCACGTTTTGCTTCCGCCACCTTCCGCAGCCCTTCCGCCGCCCTTGCCGCCGGCCTCCGCCGGCGGAGGCGGCCTCATTTACGTCCGCCGACCGTCCACCACCCTTCCGATGCCCGATCCCGGATGCATCCGCGAAGCGGAGAGGGCAGCACAATGGCGAGGCGCCACTGAGTGGCCAGGCGGTGCAGGCCGAAGAGGAGCCGCCAAAAAGAAGCCGTCGACATTTCTCGCGGCCAGAAGAACTCTGGAAAGCCCACGAGAAGGCGGTCGACACCTGATCAATGCCCCTGCTCACGCCAGAACTTTGCGAGGGGGCGGAGCGGGAGCATGGATAAAACTCGAGCCTCTGCAGGCCGAGGTTTTTATCAATGCCCTGCGTTCCCCCCCCCCCTGGGCCGCCAGGCAGCCAGAGGGGGGGCCGCAGCAGGGGTACGCATCGATTGTCGACACCCGGCGAAAGCCGCGCACAATGAGGCCATTGCGGCGAAGGATCACTCCCTTGTGCAACTGGCTCTCCTGCCTCTTCTGGTGTTCGGGCCATGGCTCGGATCTACGGCAGCCGCTCGGGACGATGTCGGCATCCCGGGAGCAGGCTCCCCGGCGCGGCTGCTGGAAGCCGTGGACGCCCGACAGCAACACGGACAGAAGCCGGTACGATGCTCAACGGCGAATGTCGTCCAAGATCGGCAGCGGCCGCTGTTGGACAGGCGACTTCCTGCCTCAAGCGGACAGCGTCCGCGACGAGGCCGACAACGAGGCCTGTTCGGCATGGGCCCCCGCCCCCATTCTTGCCGTACCCACTCCGACCGCGCCGAGAAGCCGTCCCCCGGCTTCAAAGACCTGCCCGAACACTTCTAATCCACGGAGGCATCCGAAGACTTCCGAAAACCACCGCTAGTCTTCTCGGGGATCCACTGACACGGGTCAATCTGAGCACGGGTGAGCCAGGCCTTGCAGGACCATGCAAGATTCTGCAGGATCCTGCATTGTCCTGCACGATACCAAGGTCATCGCAACCCCGGCTGTGCAAAATCCGGAATGATCTTGTGCTCTGACTGACCCCCCGTTTGCATTGACCTCTGCCTCAAGGCCCCCGACGTCTTCCGTGAAGACTTCCATGATTTCCGAACAAAGACTCCCGAAAACGCCCGAAGACATTGCAGGAAGAAAACCTACATCAACACAAACCTTCGACGGTCCGCGCGGAGTTCTTCGACCTGCGCTGTGCCCCTTCCCCTGGCGCGCGGAGGCTCAACCAAAGGGGGTCCAGAATTGTACCGCTGTCTCTTCTCCGACACTTCCACTTGGACGCCCGAAATGGGTCGGAAAGAATGGGCACAATGCCCAACAACAAATGATGCCCCAAACCAACAGCCGCCGCTGTTGGGCAGGCGGCCTTCTGTCTCGAATGGACACAGGCCGCGGCGGCGCGGACAGCGGGTCCTGCTCAAAACGAACAGGAACTGCTGTTGGGCACTGTACCCCTTCCTTCCGTGCCCACGTCGTTCGTGCAGACTTCCAGGGCTCCCGAAGAGACTCACAGAAGGCACCCGAAGACTCCCGCGCAGCTGGACCTCACTGCCGCCGCGGCGCGCCGGCGTGCGCGCAGGCGCCCCAGAGGTGCCACCGCGAGCCTGCGCACCTGGGGGCGAGCGGCGCAGGGGGGGGAGGCCGGCGCAGAGGAGAGGGGCGAGGAGGGGGGAGGGAGAGGAGCGAGGAGGGCAAGGGAGCAGGGAGGACGAGGGCGAGGAGGAGGAGCAGGGGGAGGGAGAGGAGGACGAGGAGGAGGAGGAGGAGGAGGAGGAGGAGGAGGAGGACGAGGAGGAGGGCGCCTGTGCCTCTAGGTCCCCTTTCCAGGTAAAGAGGCGGTTTGTACCCCGATCGTCACCCTGTTCGTGCCTGCCCAAGGGTCGTGGGCAACGGCGATGTTGGGCAGGGGCGGGCGGGGCAGAGAATCTTGCTCCTCGTCGCCACATCGGCGTCACCTTTGTGGTGGCCCACCTAGCACCCAGTGGGGCGCGGGCGGTGACGAGGGTCGCCTGCGGGCGGCCCATCGGGGGATCCTCGCCAGCATCATCGTCAACATCATCATCATCGACATCAACATCATCAGCAGCATCATCATTCTCATCATCAGCACCATCATCATCAGCATCAGCAGCATCATCAACAACAACATCAACATCATCATCAGCATCATCCGCATCAGCATCATCATCATCATCAGCACCAGCAGCACAAGCATCCGCATCAGCAGCATCCGCATCATCGTCAGCATCAGCATCACCAGCAGCAGCATCGTCATCACATAATCATCATCATCATCCTCATCAGCAGCAGCAGCATCATCGTCATCATCGTCATCATCATCAGCATCACCATCACCATCATCATCATCAGCAGCATCATCATCATCGTAAGCATCACCATCAGCATCAGCATCAGCATCAGCATCAGCATCAGCATCAGCATCAGCATCCTCATTATCCCCCCTCCTCCTGCTGATCCCCCTCATCCTCCTCCTCCTCAGCTTACTCCTCCTCTTCCTATTCCTCTTCCTGCTCCTCCTCCTCCTCTTGCTGCTGCTCCTCCTTCTCCTCCTCCTCCTCCTCTTCCTCATGCTCCTCCTGCTCCTGCTCCTCCTGCTGCTGGTCCTCCTCCTCATCCTATTCCTGCTCCTCCGCCTCATCCTGCTCTTTCTCCTCCTCCGCTTCCTCCTCCTCCTCCTCCTCGCTCCTCGTCCTCCTCGCTCCGCCTCCTACTCCTCCGTATCCTCCTCCTCCTGACCATCCGCCTCCTCCTCCTCCGCCTCCTCCTCCTAATCCTCCTAATCCTCCGCATCCTCCCCATCATCCTGCTCCTAGTCTTCCTCCTCCTCCCCCTTCTCCTCCGCCTCCTCCTCCTGCTCCTCCTCCTGCCGCTCCGCCTCGTCCTCCTAGTCCTCCTCGTACTCCTCGCTCCTCGTCCTCTTCGCTGCGCCCCCGCCTTCTCCTCCTCCTCCTCATCATCATCCTCCGCCTCCCACTCCCCTTCCTCCTGTTCCTCCTCCTCATCACCATCATCCTGCTGCTCCTCCTCCACCTCCTCAGCCCCTTCCTCCTGGTCATTCTCCTCATCCTGCTCGTCTTCCGCCGCCTCTCTCCTCTCCTCCTCTTCCTCCGCCTCCTTATCATCATCCTCGTTTTCTCGCGTATCGTTCTCCTCGCTCCTGCTCCTCCTCATCATCATCATCATCATCATCATCATCATCATCATCATCATCATCATCAGCATCATCAGCATCATCATCATCATCCTCCTCCTCTTCCTCCTCCTCCTCCTCAGTATCCTCCTCCTCCTCAGTATCCTCCTCCCCCGCCTCCTCCTCCTTCTCCGCCTCCTCAGCCACATCCTCCTCCTCCTCTTCCTGCTCATCCTCCTCCTCCTGGTCCTCATTCTTCTCCTCCTCCTCCTCCTCATCATCATCATCATCATCATCATCCTCCTCCTCCTCATCATCATCCCCCTCTTGCTGCTGCTCCTCATCCTCCTCCTCCTCATCATACCCCTCCTAATCCTCCTCCTCCTCCTCCTCCTCCTCGTCCTCCTCCTCCTCCTCATTATCCTCCTCCTCCGCCTCCTCCTTCTGCTCTTCCTGCTGCTGCTCCTCCTCCTCCTGATGTTGTTCCTCCTCATCCTCCTCCTCTTCCTCCTGCTCTGCCTCCTCCTCCTCATCCTCCTCCTCCTCCTCCTCATCCTCCTCATGATCCTCCTCCGCCTCCTCCTCCTCCTCATCCTCCTCCTCTTCATCCGCCTCCGCCTCCGCCTCCTCCTCCCCCGCCTCCTGCTCATCATCCGCGTCATCCTCCTCCTCCTCCTCCTCCTCCTCCTCCTCATCCTCCTCCTCATCCTCCTCAGCATCGTCATCATCAGCAGCAGCATCACCGACAGCATCATCATCAGCATCATCAGCAGCAGCATCATCGTCGTCAGCATCATCAGCATCATCATCATCATCATCAGCAGCAGCATCATCGGCATCAGCATCATCAGCATCATCATTATCAGGAGCAGCAGCAGCATCATCATCATCACCGTCATCGTCGTCAACGGCAGCATCATCATCATCATCATCATCATCATCATCATCATCATCATCAGCAGCAGCATCAGCATCAGCATCAGCAGCATCAACAGCATCACAATGGTCAGCATCAGCATCGGCGTATTCAGCACCAACAGCATCATCAGCATCGTCAGCAGCATCAGCATCCTCATAAGCATCGACATCAGCATCATCATCAGAATCAGCATCGTCCTCATCAGCATCATCAACATCGCCATCAACGACAGCATCCGCAGCATCAGCCTCAGCACCATCGCCATCATCATCAGCAGCAGAAGCAAAACGCACCAGCAGCATCATCGTACACCTCATCATCAGCGCCATGATCATCAGTAGTATCCTCAGCAACAGCATCAACATCAACATCATCATCACCCGCATCATCAGCAGCCTCATCATCGTCATCGTCAGCATCATCATCAGCATAATCCTCATCCCCATCATCATCGTCAGCGACAGCATCAACATCATCACCAGCATCAACACCGTCCGTCTCATCAGCAGCTTCAGCATCAGCATCAGCAGCATCATCAGCATCATCGTCAGCATCAGCATCATCTTCCTCCTGCTCATCCGCCTCCTCCTCCTCCTCCTCCTCCTCATCCGTCGCATCCTCCTCCTCCTCCTCCTGACCCTCGTCCTCCTCCTCCTCATCCTCATCATCCTCATCCTCCTGCTCCTCCGCCTCCTCCTCCTCCTCTTCCTCCAAATCCTCCTCCTCCCCTTCATCGTGTTCCTCACCTTCCTCCTCCTCATCCTCCCCCTCCGCCTGCTCCTCCTCCTCATGCTGTTCCTCCTCCTCATCCTCCTGGTCCTCCTGGTCCTCCTCGCTCCTCGTCCTCCTCGCTCCGCCTCCTCCTCCTCCTCCTAAGCAGCATCAGCCTCCTCCTCCCATCCTCGTCCTCCCGCTCCTCCTCATCCTCCTCATCATCGTCATCAGCATCAGCATCATCATCATCATCATCATCATCATCATCATCATCATCATCATCATCATCATCATCATCAGCAGCATCAGCATCCTCATCATCAGCATCAGCAACATCATCAGCATCATCATTATTATCATCAGCATCAGCCTGCTGCTCCTCCGTGTCCCCCTCCTCCTCGTCCTCCTCATCCTGCTCGTGCTCTGTCTCCTCCTCTTTCTCCCCATCTTCCTCTCCTCCTCCTCAACATCTTTCTCCTCCTACTTCTCGTCATCCTGCTCACCCTCCCCCTCGTCCTCCTCCGTGTCCTCCTCGGCTATCGTCCTCCTCGCTCCGCATCCTCCTCATCGTCATCGTTCTCATGTTCATCCTGCTCCTACTCCCCCTGCAGCTCCTCCTCCTGCTCATCATCATCTTCCTGCTCCTCCGCCTCATCATGTTCTTCCTCACCCTCCTCCTCCTCCTCCTCGCTCCTCGTCCTCCTCGCTCCGCCTCCTACTCCTCCTTATCCTAATCCTCCCCCTGCTCCTCCTCCTCATCCTAATCCTCAGATTCCTCCTCCTCCCATCATCCTGCTCCTCCTCTTCATCCTCCTCTTCATCCTCCTCTTCCTCCTCACCCTGCTCCTCCTCCTCCTCCTCCTCCTCCTGCTCCTCCTCATCGTCCTACCAGTCCTCCTCGTCCTCCTCCCTCCTCGTCCTCCTCGTTCCGCCGCCTCGTCCTCCTCCTGATCATCCTGTTCTTCCAACTGCTTCGCCTCCTCCTCCTCCTCATCGTCATCATCATCATCATCATCATCAGCATCATCATCATCATCATCATCATCATCATCAGCATCATCATCATCATCATCATCACCATCATCATCGTCATCATCATCATCAGCATCATCATCATCATCAGCATCATCATAATCATCAGCATCATCAACATCATCAGCATCATCATCAGCATCATCATCGTCATCATCATCACCATCACCACCATCATCATCATCATCATCAGCATCATCAGCATCATCATCATCATCAGCATCACCAGTTTCATCAGCATCATCATCATCATCATCATCATCATCATCAGCATCATCATCATCATCATCATCAGCATCATCATCATCATCAGCATCATCATAATTAACATCAGCATCAGCATCATCATCAGCATCATCATCATCATCAGCAGCATCATCGTCATCGGCATCATCATCATCGTCAGAATCATCATCATCATCATCATCATGAGCATCATCAGCATCATCATCATCGTCAGGAGCAGCATCAGAATCATCATCATCAGCATCATCATCGTCAGCATCATCATCATCATCATCAGCATCATCATCATAATCATCAGCATCATCATCATCATCATCATCATCATCATCATCATCCTGCTCCTCCTTCTCCTCCTCCTCATCCTGCTCGTCCTCCCCCTCCTCCTCCTTCTCCTCCACCTCCTCGTCCTCCTCCTCCTCCTCATCCTCCTCGTGTTTAGCTGATCGTCCTCCTCGCTCCTTCTCCTCCTCCTCCACCTCCTCCTCCTCCTCCTCCTCCTCCTCCTGGTGCTCCGTCTCCTCTTCCTCATCCTCCTCCTCCTCCTCCTCCTCATCATCATCATCAGCAGCATCAGCATCATCATCAGCATCAGCATCAGCATCATCATCATCATCATCAGCATCAGCAGCAGCATCATCATCATCAGCATCAGCATCAGCATCAGCATCAGCATCATCATCATCATCATCATCATCATCATCATCATCATCATCCTCTCCCTGCTCCTGCTGCTGCTCCTCCTCCTTCTCCTCCTCTCCTCCTCCTGCTGCTCCTCCTCTTCCTCCTCCTCCTGCTCTTCCTCCTGCTCCTCCTGGTCCTGCTTCATCTCCTCCTCCTCATCCCCCTCTTCCTGCTCCTTCTCCTCTTCCTCCTCATCCTTATTATCGTCATGACCGTCAGCAGCAGCAGCATCATCATCAGCAGCAGCAAAAGAATCAGCATCAGCAGCATCATCAGCATCAGCATCATGATCACCAGCATCATCAGCATCATCAGCGTCATCATCATCATCATTATCAGCATCATTATCAGCATCATCATCATCATCATCATCATCATCATCATCATCATCATCATCATCATCATGATCATCATCATCATCATCATCATCATCATCATCATCATTATCATCAGCAGCATCATCATCGTCATCCGCATCATCATCAGAAGCAGCATCATCCTCATCATCAGCATCATCATCATCCCCTTCCAACTGCTGCTCCTCCTTCTCCTCCTCCTCCTCCTCTTCCTCCTCCTCCTGCTCCTCCTTCTCCTCCTCCTCCTCCGCTCCTCCTCCTGACCCTCTTCCTCCTGCTCCTCCTCCTCCTCATCCTCATCATCATCATCAT